CCTGGGAAACGTCCTTGCAGACAGCCAATTCTCTCACACCAGAAGCGACTTGCAGTTTCTCAAGTTGCTCCTGACACGAAAAAAACCCCTTTTAAATTAAACCAAACCTTTTCTGAGTCTCAACTTACTGATTGCTTTGGAAGCTACCATTTAACTTTTCCAGTATTGTTGGAATTGATTATATTTAAATTGACTGAAGGAATGGCACAGCTCATAAGTAATTGAGGGGAAACAAATGGCTCTGCTGGTGTTGAACTGAAAATCCCATCTGGTATCATCAGTATGGTGAGGGATAATGGGGCTTGCAGCCGAACCACTTCTAGACGCCCATAGAGTTGCCATTCCTTTTAGTCAGTGCTTTTGAAAATGACCGAGCCTACAAAAATGGTTACATGGACACGGAGCCCACATCTGACACATTACTTGGTCCACATCCTTTAGAAATTGTCTATGCTAATTGTCTCCAGTCTTCATGCCCTTTAACTGTGTTGTTCTACAAATCCCAGTACCTCAGCCAGCAATGACAGTAGATGATGGATATTCTAGTCCAACAACTCAGAGCAGTGGTGTCAAACTCATTTTCATTGAAGGTCATATGAGCCTTATGGTTGCGGTCAAAGGGCCATTGAATCCATGTGTGGAGAATCCATGGATACACAGGGCAAACTATAATTCCATGGTTAGTGCTTTTAAATAATTTTTACCCAGTTTGGGTTCTCTGGTGCTACTGAACAATAACTCCATACACTTTTGATTATTCACCATGTGAACTGGGGATAATGGGAGTGGCACTGCATTTGGAGAAAGTTAAAGCACATTTTAAAATCATCATCTCCACAAACCTTGTATCTAAATTCAAACCCCACTATCCTGACTAAAAAGAACAAAGTGCAGCCTTCCAGATATTACTGTATCACAACTCCTATCAGTTCTAGTCATTAGTCTCATAATGAGGAATATGGGAGTTGTGGTCTAGCATCTGGAGGGCCGCATAAAATGACATGGCTGGATTTGGCCCGTGGGCCTTGTTTCACACATGTGACTTAGATAATTCAAGACTTGGGAACAGAGTTATATACAAAAAATATATCTTGCGGACTTGGCTGCTATCTGCACTTCCCAATTTTTCTTTTCATGGCTGCCTGCCTTCCCTATTTCTGCTCTCTTTGCCCCCAAAGTGCATCTTGGGAACTGACCTTGGGCTCTTCCTGAGACAGATGAGTTTGACCTTGCCATTCAAAGAGATGCCTTGCCTGAACCTGCAGGATAAAAGGGCATAGGATGCCTCCAGTGCCCAGCAGTAATTGAACTGCTGGATGCTGAATGCACACACAGCATTCAAAATAATTATTATAATCCTAACCATCCATCGTTCATGTCATTAATTCAGAACCACTTCTCCCTATCAATATTAACAGAAGAACTGAGGTTTTAAAAAAGCATAAATAATATATTCAATAGGCTCTAGGCCAGGCATGGGCAAACTTTGCTACCCCAGGTGTTTTGGACTCCAACTCACACAATTCCCAACAGCCTCCGCTTAAGCGGCTGAGGGGGAAAAGGAAGGGGCCTGTAGCTGTTAGGAATTGTGGGAGTTGGAGTCCAAAACACCCAGAGGGCTTAAGTTTGACCATGCCTGGCCTAGAGCCTATTGACTCCGCCTATCCGCTGAACAGGTGATTTGAAGGCAAAAATATGTAGTTTGCCATCGTTTGCATGCAATTACAAACAACATTCTCCTGTGCTTTTGCTTGGTTCTTGCATTTATTTTGCTTGGTTCAAAAGAATTACCATAGCATCCATCTGCAAAATTACTTCTGGGTTTGTTGTTATTTTCCCCTATTGCACTTTTACAAGAGGAAGGACGAATCACATTGCTAGAATACATTTTCTTTTATTGCTGGTGAGCAGTGTCTAATGCCACCGGTACACTAATATAATGGATTTTTCATAAATTTGAATGCATTACAAAAGAGAATCCAGATACAATTCAATTTATCTTCATATAAACTTTAAAGACTTTGAATCTTTCAGAACTACCACGTTGGGCACTTCTTTGTAAGTAATCCTTTAATACAAATAAATTGTCAGGTGAGTCATTTTTTTTCTAGAGAGATTTATGGCATTTATTTTTTGAGATAAGCTACCACTTAAATGAGAACACGAAGAGAAATAGAGATTGAACTTTAATATACATTTCTGAATCAATAAAAGTTGCATTATGCATTCAGAAAATCGCAGTTCTGCCGTGATGGAGGTATTACCAAATACGAATGCTAATAGTGGGCTCCTGTTGTGCCATGAATGTCTCCCAAATTAAATATCTCTCACTGTTTGTTTCTCATACATTCATATGCCAATGCAGACAGAAAATAGCAGGAACATGCTAAAGAACTCATTTTGACTGAGACCATTTTTTCCAGAGTCAGGGATTTTTTTATAAGACCGCTTCCAATCAAAAGTCCTTTCACATACACTTTGAACGACACAGTCCCATGCTGGGAAAGGAATATATGTGTGTGTTTTTAAAAAAAATGTAGGTGGACTCTTTGACTATGGGTCTTTAAAAATAGAATATAAAGACATGAGAAGGTTAGGTTTGGTTCTGCATTTAAAACAGGACATGTCTAATCTATTGGAACACTACTATGTGAGGAGAAGTTATAGGAAGAAGGGAGCAAGCTTGTTTTCTGCTGCCCTGGAGACTAGGATGTGGAACAAGGCTTCAAACTACAGGAAAGGAGATTCCACCTGAACATGAGGAAGAAGTTCCTAACTGTGATTGCTGTGATTGCAGTGAAACTCTCTGCCCCAGAATGTGGTGGAGGCTCCTTCTTTGGAGGCTTTGAAACAGAGGTTGGATGGCCATCTGTTGGGAGTGCTTTGAATGTGATTTTCTTGCTTCTTGGCAGGAGGTTGGACTGGATGCACCACAACATCTCTTCCAAGTCAATGATTCTATGATTCTACTATGGCAATGAAGTAGAAACATATTGGAATCATCAGGGTCAGATTTGGACACTACAGCTGTCCCTCCACATTTGTGGTTTTGACTTTTGCAGATTTTATTATTCACACATTTGATTGACAATGTTTTGTCTAGGCATCACCTGGTGTGGCTCAATGCTGTCATGCTGGAGGACCTAGATATATCTAGAGAGAGAAAGAATATCAGGGTCCTCCAGTGTGATTCTATGGTCAGCTTCTAGCAGTGGTTGACCATAGTGTCATTCTGGAAAACCTAGAAATTCCTAGTGATGTTTTCGCTCTGGTAAATATATAGCAATTTCTTTATTTGCAGTTTTTCATTTTCATGAGGGTGGAGGTGGTGTTTCCAGTTCATAAAGAGAACTGCCAACATTATCCGTGTCTCTTTCCAGATCCCAAATACAACAGGACTCAAACTTCCTTTTGCTTAACTTGAACAACCTGGGCCTGCTATTCTTTCAGGGCTAGGAAGAGGGCATTGCCTTTTCCAAAAGTGAATCTGGCAATAAGAAAGAAGAAAGAACTAACCAACAACTATGGTGGTGGTGGCACTGTTGCCCAGTATGCTTATCTGTGAAAAAGGCTGACATGGAAATTTGAGGTATCTCCAAATTTTGAGATATAGTCCACAGCTCACTTAGAAGATATCTACACTGACCAAAAAACTGGATTCTCTCTGAACCACTGCGATCCTTCTCCAAACATCACAGGGTTTCTTGACTTAAATTGGACTTTACCCCAAGTTATGCAAAGCTGGAGGATACTCCAGTTTTTGCTGGAAACTTCAGAGTATCCTGGGGCTTTGAGGCTGTCTTGACAGCTGGATTGGTCCAATTTGACTTGATGAACTGTCCAGGCTGATACTATAGCATGACCCTCACCTTGTACTGATCAGGGAAGGAGGTGACCATAGAATCACACTGGAGGACCTTGATATTCTTTCTCTCTCTAGAAATATCTAGGTCCTCCAGCATGGACTTCAGCATATGCAACCAAGATGGTCAGGCACTTGCATAATGCTCTGAAGCTGGCAGGGAGTAACAGTGGCATTATGGAGGACAATGTAACAGCCTAGCAGGGGTGGAGTGGTCCCAACCTATCTGGCCTCCAGTCCTTGATTCAGCATGTACTTGCTGGATCTGGGCCTCTTCTGGATCAGATTTATACTGGAATAATACACCAAGTGTAGACGTAGCCTCTGTTTGTCTGCCTCTGTGTGTGTATTGTAGAATTTCTTTGCATTTCTTTGGGCCACAAAAATGCAATTCATCTTTCTGTATTTCACCATGCCTTCAGTTTATTCTTGAATAGAGAATTGATATTTTCCTAGTTTGCTCCTGTAAACAGCACATTTCCCCTTCCACACAGTTCTACCAACTCATAGTAATGAGGCCACATGAAGAAATTTCAAACATTTGAGATTGGAATTATGAGATTTTGTGGACATAGTTCCGTGGGGTTCTAGGGCCTGAAATTAAAAAAGTAACTGGCCTAATGTCCCACATTCAGTCCCTGGCATCTGCAAGTAGACATGAAAATGGGAAACACAGAGAGATGCCACTGTATACAACTCTGAGTTAGAAGAACGTATTTGCTCATGTAAGAAATGGACACTTTGCTTTTGCCTTCTTAAATAAAAGGAGTCACCCAAAATGTCTACAAAATAAGATAATTTACTTTATTTTATTTTATTTCCCTATCCTTCTCGACCTCCGAGGAGGGACTCAGAATGGCATAAATACAATGGGCCAAATCTAATCTAAATCTAACAAATCTCATTCACTTCAACAGAGCCACACTTGAAGGGACTGATGTAGGATTTAACACAAGAATAATAACATTGCATTTACACAACAAGCTAAAAGCAGCAGCAGAGAGAAAGGCAAAGAACCTATCCAGTCAGTAAACAAGATTAAGCAACAGCAGAGTCAACTGCTTGTTTAAAGAGACATTTCTTCCTGCCAAATATAAGTAAAGAGGAAGGTGACCTAACCTTTATGGGCAGAGAGTTCTACAAACATGAGGCTGCTACTGGAAAAGGTTTCTCTGGTCTGAAAGTATAAGGTAATTTCCTGTGTTTTGAGGAATAATAATTCCTCCTCTGGATTGCTTTTTGCCTAAATATGAGAGGTGTGCAAAATTTCAGACACCATTTTGGATTTCGGAAAATTTCGGCAATTCATACCACCAAAATACAATGCAGGAGGGTCCCCTTTGAAGCATTTACGTATCAAAACACAAGCCTCTGAATCTTTCAGAAAAATTCAGATTTTTTTTATTTGAATTTTTTTCAATGTAACATATTACCCGATTGGGACTGACTGGCATGACTGAAAAGGGAAGCTGCACACAGCTTTTTTCCCCTTGTCAGCCAATCAGAAGAAGAAAGCTATACTTGACAGTTATTTTGTGCCAGTTTCTGACTATTTCTGAAAACTTAGGAGGACTACTCTAGTTATTATCCAACTTTTATTTTCCAAATTCTACTAAGGAGATGTGGGTGGATGTACCTCTCAACTCAGACACGCCAGTGAGCCCTCTGCCCCCACACCCAGCAAGTCAGATCTGCAAAACCTACTTATCAGTCTTCTGCTTCCTCTGACAGGACCAGCATTTCACTTTGACTGAAATCTTCTGAAACTTGGGTAAGCTTACAGTTGTAAAAGTGGCCTATGAGTGTGGCAAGTTTGATCCTGATGGCCAAAAAATATATAATTTTTCAATCCCCTGAGGATGAGAGAGTGTCCAAGGTGCTTAAATTGCAAAAAAATCCTAAAAATCAGTGTATAACCAGATTTTTCTGAAACTTTGCAGGAATTTTGCCCTACACATGTTCTGTCACTGTGGAAAAATTCAAGGGATTTTTTTTGTTTTTTAACAAAGAAATTCTTTTGGAAGAAACTTTTTTAAAATTCCTAAAAATCAGTTAATAACCAAAACATTCTGACACTTGGCAGGCTTACAGCTGTGAATGTGTTCTACAAGTGTGGCAAGTTTCATCTCAATAGTCATGAAATGACAGAAAGACGAGCTGCACAAGTTTCCCCATTGGCGCTAATGGACGGAATCTTACCAAAACAATAATGAAACTTCGAATTTCGAATTATGAATCGAAATGGCTACCTCCAAATCTCCATGAATCTTCCTGAAACAAAATAGGAGGGGGCATCTAAAATTCAAAATGAAACTGAAATGAATCTCTACCATTTAATGCACCTCCACTAAATACTCTGAAGACTCCAGTCAGTAGCTCTCAAACTTTGGTCTTACAGATGTTTCTGACTTTAGCTCCAAAATTGTTTATTATTGGCTAAGGCAAGTGGGGCTTCTGGAAGTTGAAGCTCAAAACATCTGGAAGACTAGCATTTCAGAATCACTGCTCTAGAAGATCATGAATGATCTCAGAAACTAGAGCTGAGATGAATCTACATTGTAGAATTAATTCAATTTGGTACCACTTTAACTGCCATAATGTTATGGAATCTGGGGAGTTGTAGTTTGATGAGACACCAACAGTCTTTGGCAGAAAAGGCTAAAGACCTTGTAAAATGACAACTCTTAGGATGTCCCCAAAAGAAAGGGAACTTGCTGACTGCATACATATGAATGTATTTCCACTAGATAAGAGAATAGCTAGAAATAAAAGTATTTGAACCCCATTTGCAATACTTTCAAATGGTTCATAGCATGTGCAGTTGTTCAGAATCACAAGAATTAAAATGTCAGAATGCAGACATTTTGGATTATAATACACAAAGGATGTGATCTTACATTGGATAGCACGGCATCAATTTGTATATGAGGAATGATGCGTTGATTGTACTACTTGCATGGAGTGGCAGCTGAATGCACACCTGAATATGCAACTAAATTGAATGCATTTTAAAACTGGTTGCCTTATATAAACCATTGAGTGTGTAAAGACTGAGTTTTGTAATCTTAGACACCACTGAATTTGGCAGGCTGCATTTCTGCGTGGGCATGCATATGATTGCACCGAAGCTTCAAGTTGTAATATTTTATTTCCAGACATTCTAGATCTACTCTTATTGATTTTTTTGCCATTTCAAGTCTTCTTCAGTAGTTACTTAAGTATCAAGATTTATGATGTCTTTGTCAATGCCTTCTCTCAATATTTCATTTGATTACATGTATTTGGTATCTTGCTCTTCACTTCCAAAGGACTCTCACGGCTTCAAAAGAAATGGCATGCAGCCACGGCAAAGCAATAAAGCAAATTAGAAATCCAGCTGGAAGTATTAAAGTCAGCTTCCTGAGACCTAGGTAAATAAAAAGCTGTCATTATTGTATTTATTTAGAACCAAAAAGATATAAGATTTGGGATCCAGCTGGTCTCTGTTGGGACAGTTTTCTGAAAATAAGGTGCCACAACCAGAAAGATGGCCTCAAAAAGCTTAATATACAAGAAAGGGATATTATAGATATTGGAGTTCCAGATTATATGTTTGTAACTATATGTCCCATAGCAGGCTTTCCTGACACATAACCAATCATATGTTTTAGGGTGCATCTACATTGTAGAATTAATATGGTTTGACACCACTTTAATTTCCATGGCTCAATGACATAGAACAGGCATGGGCAAACTTCCACCTTCCAGGTGTTTCGGCCTCAACTCCCACAATTCCTAGGAGCCTACCCAGTTTGCCCGTGTCTGCTATAGAATAATGGGAGTTGCTGGGGACCTCCGCTGGGAAAATCTTCGCAAGAATCCTTGCAAACCACCTTCTACCCCTCTCAGAAGACACCCTCCCAGAATCCCAGAACAGCTTCCGCCCCTCCAGAAGAACAGTGGACATTATCTTCACTGCACAACAGCTCCAAGAAAAATGCAGGGAACAAAATCAACCTCTGTACATGGCATTCATTGACCTTGTAAAGGTATTCAACACAGTCAATTGCAGAGCTCTCTGGACCATCCTCCAAAAAATTGGGTGCCCTAACAAATTTGTGAACATCCTGCGGCTCCTCCATGATGACATGATGGCAAAAGTCTTGGACAGCAATGGCTCCCAAAGTGACCCATTTAAGGTGGAATTGGGTGTCAAACAGGGATGTGTTATTACCCCAACTTTATTCTCCATCTTCATCGCTATGATACTTCAACTTGTTGACGGGAAGCTTCCCACTGTAGTGAAAATCATCTATTGGACAGATGGCAAACTGTTTAACCTCAGCAGACTGAAAGCCAAAACCAAGGTTACAACAGCATCTGTTATAGAACTCCAGTATGCTGATGACAATATCACCTGTGCGCATTCAGAAGAAGACCTACAAGCCACTCTAAACACCTTCGCAGAAGCATATGAAAAGCTCGGCTTGTCACTGAATATCGAGAAAACCAAAGTGCTCTTCCAGCAGTCACCAGCCAATCCCCCTCCAATGCCAGAAATACATTTCTAATGGTGTAACATTAGAAAACGTTGACCACTTCCGCTACCTTGGCAGCCACCGCTCCACCAAAGTCAACACCTAAATACAACACTGCCTGAGCTCTGCGAGTGCAGCATTTTTCCGAATGAAGCAGAGAGTGTTTGAGGACTGAGACATCCGTAGGGATACCAAGGTGCTTGTTTATAAAGCTATTGTCCTCCCAACCCTGCTATATGCCTGCGAGACGTGGACTGTCTACAGACGTCACATGCAACTCCTAGAACGATTCCATCAGCGCTGCCTCCAGAAAATCCTGCAAATCTCTTGGAAAGACAAGTGAACACATGTCACTTGGAAGATGCAAAGACCACCAGCACTGAAGCAATGGTCCTTCACCATCAACTCCACTGGACCGATCACGTTGTCCAGATGCCTGACCACTGTCTCCAAAAGCAGTTGCTCTACTCCAAACTCAAGAACAGAAAACGGAATGTTGGTGGGCAGGAAAAGAGATTTAAAAATGGGCTCAAAGCCAACCTTAAAAACTCTGCCATAGACACTGAGAACTGGGAAGCCCTGGCCCTCGAGCGCTCCAGCTGGAGGTCAGCTGTGACCAGCAGTGCTGTAGAATTTGAAGAGGCATGAATGGAGGGCGAAAGAGAGAAACGTGCCAAGAGGAAGGCGCATCAAGACAACCCCGAATGAGACTGCCTCCCACCTGGAAACCAAAGCCTTCACTATGGGAGAAGATGCAGATCAAGAATAGGGCTCCACAGTCACCTACGGACCCACCAGCACATTGATCCTGGAAGACTATCCTACTCGGACAATGAGGGATCACCTAAGTAAGTAAGTAAGTAAGTTAGTAAGTAAATGAGAGTTGCAGTTTTACGAGGTCTTTAGCCTTATAAAGAGTGCCGGGGCCTCAGCAAATTACCAAAAGACAGAATACAATTAAAATGTAGCTAAAATGTACACATTAAAACTCATGTGGATAATTTTGGATTTCAGAGTATTTCAGAATTTGGAATGGTGGATAATGGATGTTCAATCTGTTTTTGCTTCTCTACCTGAATCCCTTCTCCTGACTGCATCGTAACACTGTAAAAATGAACAGGGGCCTTGCCACCTGAAAGAGAAAGGCAGTTGCCTCTGGCAGTCAGATTCTTTGGGTGTCATCCAAAAGCAGCCAATTGCTAGTGAATACTTTATTTATTTATTTAACTGCCAGGAAAGTTGAAACCTCTTTGTGAGAGACTCTTGTACCTTTTGGCAGAGACTAAAAAAGAAGACTTGGATTGCCTTAAATATTCAGTACCTTGACTGTGGTGGCATCCACACTGTAGCATTAATGCTGTTTGGCACCACTTTAACTGCCATGTCTCAATGCTATGGGAACACAAGAGTTATAGTTTTACAAGGACTTTGGCCTTCTCTGCCCAAGAGTGTGACTGCTTCAACAAACTACAAATCCCGGGATTCCATCGCATTGAGTCATGACAGTTAAAGTGACACCAAACTGCATTTATTCTACTTTGTAGATGCATGCTCAATCAAGGCTACCTGGTGAGTTTCCATGCTTGAGTAGGGATTTGAACTCTGGTCTTTAGAGTCATAGTCCAACATTTGCATCACTACAACACATTGTGGAATCATAGCAGCTTGACGTCATTTTAACAGCTATGGAATCCTAGTATTTGTGCGTATCTTGTTATGGCACCAGAACTCTCAGACATTGCATTGACACTATAGAATGAATGAAGTCTCATTACTTACTTACTGACTTAGGCGATCCCTCGTTGGCTGAGTAGGATAGTCTTCCAGAATCATCTATCATCTATGTTTGTGGGTGATTTCCAAGATGATTCCCACATCCAGAAAGCCCTGTGACTCCCACCAATAACAGATCTGGACCAAACTTGGCACACACATCCCTCATGACCAACTTGAAGTACTGCTGGGGTTTGGAGCGTATGTGTGGACCCGGGATGATGGGAGTCGCAGTCCACTTACATCCAGAGAGCACAGTGAACCCTAGCAAAGATGGACCTGGGTCAAACTTGCCACACAGACCCATCATGACCAACTTTAAATACTGCTGGGGTTTGGGCCATGTGTGTGGACCTGGGATGATGGGAGTCACAGTCCATGTACACCCAGAAAGTACCATGAGCCCTCTCAATGATGGACCTGGACCAAACTTGCCACACAGACCCATCATGACCAACTTTAAGTATTGCTGGGATCTGGGGTATGCATGTGGACCCAGGATGATGGGAGTTGCAGTCCACTTCCATCCAGAGAGCACAGTGAACCTTACCAACAATGGACCTGGACCAAAGTTGCCACACAGACTCATCATGACCAACTTTAAATACTGCTGGAGTTTGAGAGGTGTGTGTGGAGCCAGTATGATGAGAGTTGCAGTCCACTTCCATCCAGGGAGCACAGTGAACCCTACCAACGATGGACTTGGTCTAAAGTTGCCATACAGACCTATCATAACCAACTTTAAGTACTGCTGGGATTTGAGGTGTATCTGTGGAGCCAGTATGATGGGAGTTGCGGTCTACTTACACCCAGAGAGCACCGTGAACCCTCCCAATGATTGACCTGGACCAAATGTGCCACACAGACCCATCATGACCAACTTTATTGCTTGGGCTTGAGGTGTGTGTGTGTGGAGCGTATGATGGGAATTGCAGTCTACTTACACCCAGAGAGCACCATGAGCCCTCCCAATGATCGACCTGGGCCAAACTTACCACACAGACCTATCATGACCAACTTTAAGTACTGCTGGGATTTGAGGTGTGTGTGTGGAGCCAGTTTGATGGGAGTTGCAGTCAACTTACACCCAGAGAGCACCATGAGCCCTCCCAACTATGGACCTGGACCAAACTTGCCACATAGACCCATCATGACTAACTTTTAAGTACTGGTGGAGTTGGGTGCATGTGTGTGGTGGACCCAGGATGATGGGAGTGGTAGCCCACCCACATCTTTATGCATTTTCTAATGAGAGCATTCATAAAGTCCAAAAACAATGCCCCGGCAGTAAAAGTGGTGTCAAAACGCATTCCTTCTATGGTGTAGATCAGGCATGGGCAAACTTGGGCCGTCCAGGAGTTTTGGACTTTAACTCCCACCATTCCTAACAGCCTCAGGCCCCTTCCTTTCCCTCCTCAGCCGCTAAGCTGAGGGGGGAAGAAGGGGCCTGAGGCTGTTAGGAATGGTGGGAGTTGAAGTCCAAAACTCTTGGACGGCCCAAGTTTGCCCATGCCTGGTGTAGATGCAGGGGAGGGAAAGAGAGAGGCGGAGGAAGAGCGAGAGAGTGGGCTTCCCTTGCCTTTGCCCCTCTCCTTCCTCCCCTTTCTCCCCCTCCCCTGCTCCTTCCCACTGGCTGGAGGAGCTGCCAATCCGCCTGGTAATCCTGCTTTAACGAGGAGCCAAGAAAAAGCGGAGGCGAAGGCAGCCCCAGCCGAAGAGGGAGGGAGAAAGAGAGAGCGAGAGAGAGCGAGAGAGAGCGAAGGCAGCCCGGGACTCCTCCTGCAGCCGCCCCTTCTCGCCGTTTCCCTCTCTCTGTGTGTGTCTCCGCGTGGAAAAAAAAGCCTCCCTCCTTTCCTCCCTCCCTCCCTGCTCCGTGGCTAAACTTTGTCGGGGCGAGGGAGACCCACGCGAGGCACCCGCCGCAGGAGAAGAGGAGGAGGAGGAGGCGAAGGGGACGCCCCGAAGCCAGCCAACAAGTGAGGAGGAGGAGGAAGAAGAAGAGGAGGGAGAGAAGGAGAAGAAGAAGGAGAAAGAGGGCGAAGAAGAGGGAGCCGGCGGTGGGCGCCGATCCCGTGGAGTCCGCCTCCGCCTGGAAATCTAGCTTGCTTGGGTCT